ATTCATGTATGGTAGTATATTCATGTATGGTAGTATATTCATATAGTAGTATACTCATGTATAGTAGTATACTCATGTATAGTAGTATACTCATGTATAGTAGTATACTCATGTATAGTAGTATACTCATGTATAGTAGTATACTCATGTGTAGTAGTATACTCATGTGTAGTAGTATACTCATGTGTAGTAGTATACTCATGTGTAGTAGTATACTCATGTGTAGTAGTATACTCATGTATAGTAGTATACTCATGTATAGTAGTATACTCATGTACAGTAGTATACTCATGTATAGTAGTATATTCATTTTTATAACGACGTTAATATGATATAATATCAGTTATTCGTTTCCCAAGTCAATTTCCAGCATTATATTGCAAGTGGTGAACGTAATGATATTCAAAGTACTGCATGACCATGCTATAACAGGTACTCAATGAGAGCAAGTCACAAATTTCTCAGACGTTAAATACTATGGAAGTTATTCATACTATTGAATTTGCGATTATATCAATCCATACTATTTCCATACTATATCCATAGCATGGAAAATGGAAATTGCAGTTTTAGTATGAAAATTGGATTTCCATACTATTTTTAACTGAGATCCATACTACTTCCATAGAAGGATTTTTAAAACATTTCCAGTGTTAATCTGAAAATTTGGAGTTGCAACATTTTTCTGTAAATAATCAAGTAAATCGACACTTGGACACTGTGTGACACTAACAAGTTGTCAAACTGATGCCATACTATAATTTACAGGAAAAATCCATGCTCCCCCAGAAAATTTTGAAAATCAGGTGTCCCAGGTCAGCTAAAAATGCATTTGCCATATACAAATTTGTTACATCATTCTATATAGTCTATAGATTTATACACTATCGCACTGTTAAGATCGATGCACTTAAATTTGCATTTCTGAGGTCATGGTGTGAATTTTCCTCTGAATTTATCCTTTTATCTAAATTATTACAATTTTTCTTTGTTGGGGAAATATTTTACAGGACAAATCATTATTATTTATTCGTCCCGTGGTCCGAAACTTTTTCCAGCCCTGTCCAAAGCAGGGCGATAGTAGGTACATGGCTGTGTTGATAAAGTAGGCGGCTGTGGAGAGTCATAGTCCAAATTAACTGGACACACTGTAAGTATATAATTATTGATTAGATAGGAGCACAACTGAGGTCTGTAACCAAATTATAATGTATCACTACTTTCATTCTTCAACAAGATAACTTCAAGATTTAATGTCTAAATCAGTTTTACGAAATAGTACTTGCAAAATGTTGCCATGCAGCTGAAAAGTCTGTCGCATGCCATTGATCTACACGGCAAAAAACGACCAGGTTGTTGCAATATTGATGAAAACAGGATTGAACAATGCTTTGCTGTCCACATTGTTCAGAGTTGTCAACAATATTGAACAATATTGTTACACCCGATATTGTGGGCAGCAAAACATTGTTCAATCCTGCTTGTGTGATGTTACTCTGAGTGTATATCATTCCACACCGGGCAGGCTTATTGTTCAATCCTGTTGAGCAGCGGGCTCGGCGTTTTTTGCCGTGTAGGCAGAATTTCCATTCCCTTCCACCACTTCATATTATATGAGAAAAATAATTTCATATTACAGTTTAAATATAACGGGGCTACCTCTTCTTATTGCCTTAAAACATTCCATTACTTCCAAACATTCCAGTAATTCCTTGGACACTTTCAGCAAAACAATTTTAACATCAATCCGAGGATTAATTAAATCATTGATATCGCTTTGATCACATGCAGACGCACGTAGCCTACGGTGTAGACAGACGCACGAGGTTTTTAGAATAGTCCAAACTCCCGCTATATGGCCGACACATTATCAGATTATGGATTAACGAATAATCTAATTAACAAGGAAATTAACCACCTCCCGCAATTATCTTTGCCAAATATCTATAATATGTTATTTTCATAATATTCTGACAATGCAGAACGTTGTCTCGCGTGGAATTCGAACTCGCATCTCCAGCATTCTAGATCGTCGCGAAAATATTTCGTGAACTCAAACTAAATTGGAGTAGACAGTTACCAGAGTGTGAGAGAAAATAGCCTGGATACGAGGTTTCCACGCCTCACCTTTGCCGACCAAGCGGGTCTGGTAGAGGCATAACAGGGGCGTGGTTTACGATAACGACTTACATTTCTGATAAATATTCTTCAATAATATTTCAATGTGATTTTGTTAATACTATCTGTTAAGAATGTTTTATATATACACGATGTATCAATATTTAAATCAAACAGTAGCGGCCTTAGGCAATTACATGGGGCAGTTTTCATTTGACGGAAATTCCGGAAAATCAAATGGAACACGTTAATTTCTGGAATGCTGTTTCGAAAATTTCGGACAATCTCTCGAGCAACTGTCCACAAACTGGAAATTCCGGAAGTTTCGAGATTTTTACATCCCATTAAAACATTTCCCAACCACGTTGCTGCTTTCCAGTCTTCGACGAGCAAAAATCGCCACCAAAACCAAAATAGCGGGTTCTCGACCATTTCAGTTCGCCGAATGCTGAAAGACGCGATTTGAGCGGCAGTGTCAAATTCTTCAAAATTTAACGGAAACAGCATTCCAGAAATTAACGTGTTCCATTTGATTTTCAAGCAAGATTTCCGGAATTTCCGTCAAATGAAAAGCTCCCAACAAGCCTCCCATTATTTACAAGGTCTGTCACGCTGTACTGTAGCGTTCCATTTTGCCACTGGAAATTCCGGAAACGCAAACTGGGTTTTTTGTTCAAATGTTCATATCTCTGAGGATGGTTCTGAAGTTATTAAGGTAATTCCGCAGTAATTGTTCCCGAAATGAGAATGTGCTGAAACTTCCCAGGCATGGAGTTTATGATATACTTAAAGTAAAATCACACAAAAAAGTCGGGGTCTCCGAACTCGTTAAGAAGATATGACAATCACAATATACCACCTTTACCCCAATATGGTGCCATCTTGACGCTCATTACGAGTAACAGCAAAATCACAACAGCCCGATATTTATTGACGTTTTTAGCGCGGATTTTGCTTTAGTAAACCTATCTTGTAATTATTTTCGAAAAAATATTGTTTTGAGCAAAATGAAACTACTAACGTGTACAATTCTGATCCACAAATGTCTTTTCCACATTTCTTTACATATCTTTCTTTGAGATCCAGAAATGATTTTTCTTTTAATTTCGGATATGAAATGTAAAATGCATTAAAGAAATTAATGATCAGTTAAAAAACGGGGGTCACCGATCTTTTTAGGGAATTGTGGCATTAAAACGTGAAATACAAGTAAATAAATATACTACAGACACAGGGAACCCTAGCTACACTTTTGTATGCCTTTTTTGAAAACATTGATATCAACGTAATTCTGTGCACGAATGTAACCAAAGATTTTTTGAAGTAACATAAAATTGTCATAAAATGATTTTTTTTTAAACGCGGTAAGTATAATGGATGAAATTATAAGTTATAAGATGTGCGCAGTAAAAGTGCGCAATGCAAAACTGCGGAATTACCTTAATCCTCGTGTTTTCCACTACATGTATTAGACCAAAAACGCTCTAGATTGGAATACGCTAAAGAGAACGGTTGCGAAAAATGCAACACCAGGTCCTCTTGCAGGAATCTGCGGGTCTGCGACTCCAGTGGCCTCTGCAGCTCAGCTGGTTAGAGCGCTGCACTGGAATCGCAGGGCCGTGGGTTCGATTCCTGCCAGAGGGCCTGGTGTTGAACGTTTCGCAACCGTTCCTGGTTAGGTTGGATTAGTCAATGTCATTAATCGTGTTTTTCAATAAATTTGTTGGGTGACTTCGGTCTCATATTACTATTCCAAAATGAGATTACAAATACCAAAGTCAGTATTTATAGGGTTAGAATTTGGCTTAGAATTATCATCGAGATTGCAATTGGGGCTATGGAGCCCTGCAGTCGCTGATTCGTCTTGCAGTTCCCAGCATGATCATTGAGCATGATAGGAGCGGTATATAAATCGCACCTCGGTCAACGTCTGAGTGAGATTAATTGACATCTGCTGGTATTTTTTGCCTACAAATGACAAGTATATTAACTGGCAAACTACGAAACAGTAATTTGGAGCTCGCATCTTACAAAATATCTTACTGACAGCACTGACAGCTGTCAATTGGTGTGGATTTTACGTGCCAAATGACATGCAAAGAGTCCCATTATTAATGACCTCCCAATAACATAGCCCGAGCTCCTGCTGTAATGACGTCATAACACGAAAATGAACTTTCCTATTGTATTTAAATGTTATTTTACAATCACAAGACAAAGAAAAGGATTACAAGCTTGACAAATACATCAAACGTACGAGCATTATTGAAAACGCATCAGCGGAAGAAATCTAGCTTGAACGTAAAGTGAGAATCTGGGAATATATGCAAGAACAGCAATACAATAGAAACAGAGGGTAACAGAAATATAACCAAGTTGGTAAAACTGGTAAGTTCCAAATACAATACATGTATAGCTGTTGCGTATAGGAAGTTGTGTTGTTTTCAAATGACAGGTCGTTGGCGCTTGACACGCGCGTTGTCGTTCCAATACCAGCACGAATTTCGTTATAAGAACGATGTACTTCACGCGCGCATCACCTAGACCTAGTAAAATTCGACAATACAAGTATGCAACTAATTTTATAAACTATACTTTTGCAACCCATAACACACAAATGCAACAAATATCTTGGTGCCCAAAGTCATTTGGGCATGTCGGGTCAGTCCACCTCATTTTCTTGATTTATGATTTAATTAACTTGTGAACTTGCAGTAACGAATTTGCGAATGGCGAAATCGGCTAGGCTCATTGTCAGTGAACCTCATGATTGAAATTTAGCACAAGTTAGGACATATAATTATACAGCCTGTTATTGAAACATTGTTTACAGAATAGTATCAACATAGCTATAGAGGTTTAGTTGAAATGACATTTCTGTATTAGTAATAAATTTGTATTTGCATTTAAAAATGGACAATAAGTATGTATAAGTCGATAAGATACCGTATGTACATTCATTTAACTCATTTTTATTAAATTCTTTCGGTAAGATACGGAAACCACAATCCCTATTTCAAGAAATACGTACTTTAATTACATAAAAGCTAGCTATGTCAACTTAGTGTCGAACAACCCCAAAACATCACTACCCAAAAGTTGCAAATTACGCTTGACTGATATTATTGCGTAGGAACAGTGGTCACAGTACGGCCGTCATTAGAGACCTTACGATTTTAGGACGGCAACGCGACGGCAACGGCTACCAGTACAACACATCATTGAAAAGAATTGAGTAATTACAATATATGAATAACTTAGACATTGTCCTCGCTCTGTTTACAACGCCAAATCACAGATTTTCACGTCTTGATACAACGGCTGCATTCCAAGCCGCAACAAGTGCAACTTCAAACTGGGTTTAGCAGAACTCTTCCCAACCATAAAACCCATATCTTCAACTTCTAAAACTGTATTAAATTCATACGATTGATAATATACCACGAACTATCTTTACTACCATTTATTTGAAGGAGTTTGTTTTGGCCCGGTCGCCGTCGCGTTGCCGTCCTAAAATCGTAAGGTCTCTATTATCACTAGATACGACTAGTCGTTTACAATAATCCTGTCATGTCACTGTATCGGATGTTTGTTCGGCTGTACATACAGAGATCACTGCAGGATGATGAGCTCGGCGTCGCGTCTATGACTATGTTCATAGCTAAGGTCTACACAGACTCACAGTAAATATAAAATCTTTGAAACATTTTTGCTACAGACTGCATGACAACGCAATTTCTGACCCAGTGCCATGTTATACTACTCACGGCTAGCATGGTTCACGTTTCACTTTCTCTTTACCGATATTTTTTTATTCATTTCATTGTTGCCTATGTGCTGTGTTTGTTCAGTTAAGAAAACATCGGCCATGCATACTCTTTCTCCGAATGCTTTTCTAGCTAACACAGTTCTGTGTCAGAGATTGTGTTTTATTGAATTTATATATTTTAATTAAAACGCCAGTTACTGTTAACTACATAAGTTAAAGACAACTAAGAGGCCACGATAAAAGAAATGTAGATTATCATATTTTAAAGGTTCAGCAGTCACGAATGTTCCAGAGTGAAAGTCTAAGAAAGCAATTTAGAGAATCACTAATGGATTGTGTTCAAACTAGAACATTCAAAATGTTTATAAATATACGTAGTGGCCGAGCAAATTCCTGGTTAATAGTTCACCTATCATTATCTGGTTAATTCAACCATATAGCCGGATCAAATTAACCAGAAATGATCAGGGGCCGGTTGTTCAAAGCTGAGTTAGTTTAACCCTAGGTTAACGTAAAATTCAAAGCGAACGTCCTGACAGCTTGTCTATAAATTTGGAAGTATTTCATCAGAGATCTTGTGTGGATTGACAGGAGTTTACTTCTCTGAAGTTTCGAAAGAAACAGACGTGCAGAAATACACAAACTAAAACAGCAGGTTATATTTTAACCCATGCGGGTTAGCGCTAACCCACTTTTGAACAACCGGCCCCTGGTGGTTAAATTGGCCAGAACTAAGTTAACCAGGATTGTGGTTAAATCAACCAAAATGTTTAACCATGCAGAAGCATTAAGTTACCCCAAACAGCATCAAGTTTAGATTAACCAGGAAATGTTTAAACCAGGGTACGTGTTTTTAGAGTGAAGAAAGCACTCTATTCCACGAGACAGGTGTCCCTTTTCTATAGACGTTTGTAAAGCAGTCCAAAGAATTATGTATGATAATTGCTATGTTGGAAATTGTTCGTAATATACGAGATGTTTATGTCATGATTCTCCTACATACTTTCGTCAGGTGCATTTTAAATGAGATTTACTTTTTTCTTGTTTATGACCATAATAATCACACACAATTGTTCTTGCTACACGTGCTGCTCGCGTCTTCACAAGTGACATCAGTGATCTCTGTTACACACTTTACCTATCAAACCAAGTACGAAGTTACGATTTAGAAAGATATCGGGAAATAAGCTGGCGGTGGTTTATGTCTGAACTACCTGAAAAAATATCTTAAACGTGCAGGGGGTCCATGTGTATAGGTAGTATTCTACAATAAGCTGCCGTGCATGGTTTGTGTCTGCATCTCAAACGTGGTGATCCAGGATATAGGAATAAACTGCGATGGTCTGTGTGTCACTGAACTGCAGGGACGTCGCGAAGCCAGAAGTGGCGTCATGTTTTGACCAACATTTCCTAGTAGGATTTTGACCAGGGGGGGGGGCAAAAAACCGGACTAACATAAGCAAAATCAAAATGTTTCGACCACTATAAGCAAGGCTTCCAATTTTTTTCAACGCAAACATAACAAAAGCTTTAAAATTGTTAAAATTGCGAACCATTTCATATCCGTTCCATTTTGACCAACCGTTGGGCAAATATCAGTTCCATTTTGACCAACTTTGACCAACGTTTCAATTATTGGTGGGGTGTTACACCCCCCCCCCGTCCCTGCTGAACTGCCTGAAAAAAAATGTCAAACGAGTGGATCCAGGATAGGTAGTATTCTACAATAAGCTGATGTGGTTTGTTTCTGAACTACCTGAAAAGATGTCTCAAACAAACATGGTGGTCCATTCGGCAGATAGTTCTGACCTGACAAAGATTAAAACAAACGAAGATCTTCGTTAGAAAGCTAAAAATGTCGAAGAGTTTCTATAGTTATTTTCAGGTAGTTCAGAAACAAATATATACAAACCACGCGGCAGGTCAGTAAGTGTAAAATACGACATAGTCATAGTTATATATACCGAACCCCACGTTTGAAATAGCATATACTGCAGGTTGGTACAGGTTTAATAGAGATTGATGAGAGATTGGCTTTATTTTCACGTTGTTTTAGAAAACGAAATCTTGAACAAAGCGACCCTATAGCAGCGGGCATCCAGCCCCTGCAGACCATAACATGGGGTCCTCAAAAAAAACAAAAAAAAACAAAAAAAAACATGAAACTCTGCATGCATCATGTGTATACATGTAGCTCCTTTGAAGTTGTGAATAAAACAACCTACATGTTTTTTTTAATCCGATATAGATTTACAAGAGTAGTAATTTACATAAAAATCATATAAACCGTTGCAATTGACCTTACCGTTTATCGACGTTTGACCCAATGTCCTCGTTTTCGTATCAGGTACTGATTTACTTGTGTTTCGTGTACAATAGGGTTAAGAACTTACTTGTTATATATCGGGCTTAAGATCAACGAGGAACCAAATCGTGAAGGAAACATGGGAATATAACCTTCATGTGCGCCTGTCATGCCAAAACTAGCAAACACGAAAACGAGGCCATTGGGGGGATTTCTTTAGTCAGATTATTTCTGAAGATTTCAAATTAGCTTCACTAGCTTATATAAAGCTACAAGGCTTTGTAAAACTTGGCAACGCGCCCAGCCACAAGCTCTTGCATAAATTGTGTTGGTCTAATACACGAGCTAGGCTGTCAGTGTTTCAAGTGATGTAAAACATTCTTGAGTTACAGGTTAATATGTGCCGCCATCTCATGTTAACTACTCCTTATCGCCACTCAACAGCAGATGAAATTATGCATGGAATTTAACACAAAGTGTCAATACGAGCTTATTAATAACTTTGGAAGAGATAAGTTTATTAAGATTGTTTGCAGCGGACGTGTATTTGTTACTTGACGGTGGGACACAAGGTAGGGGGTCTGACAAAGCCGGGTAAGCACAAACAAACAGTTTACTCGAGGCCGCCGCCACAGACCTGTACGACATTATATTCTACAAGATATTTTAGCGCCTGTACTGCCATCGACTGTATATCAACGTGAAGATAAAGAAACCTATCACAACTAAATGTAAGTAGAAAGAAATTTCAATGTTCTCAGATAGACTATTATAACAAAAAATTCATTCAGGCCCTCAGTAGTTTCCTTTAGGTATCGCCATGGACCATATTATGAGGTATTAGATGAGACACACACAGCTATGCCTATGGCAATTTTGTCCAATATCAAATACGGACTTTACTATAAAATATCTTGCATAAACATACTACGAACCGAGATAGACACGTAAGCTACGGCATGTATTTGATGTAATTTACGTTGTATAATTTTACGAAGTGTAAGGTTACCTATCAAATTCGCTTTAAAAGTTAACGTAGATAACTTTGTGTAGATTGTGCAGTATTAAATGGAAAAACTGCTGACTATAAACGGCTATAGATATCGTCCCAGTTCAAACTAGACATTTCTAAAATTCAAAACGTGTTCATGCTCGTGGCTGGTTTTACAAAGTCATTACAATGATAACATACAATATCAATGAGAAATTTGGGATAGCGCATTTGTGTTACTTAAACACATATTGTCAAGTATTCATATTCCTGATTATGCAAGGTAGAGAGATGTACCTACGAGGTATATATAACAAACGAGGTGTGTAGCAAGCGTTTTTAGTTGCGGAATCGACGCTGAAGGCAAACGTGAGAGGAAATTACGCATTCCTGCTCGAGATATCAAGTTATCGAGGCAGTAAATGGCGTAAATGCTGATGCTAAGTGTATCTAAATAATGCGATGACAAAATCGTTTACCAAACTACATCTACCTAGTCACTGTTGACAAGTCGAGGGCCACCTCGAGAGGAATGTTAAACCAACATCCTTGCCAAGCTTTTGCCACACAAACGCGCTTGGGTAAACATTTCACATCTGACGCACGCGATAAATAAGCAGGAAACACGCTAACCTCAGAGGAAATTTTTTAAAACCGTTTTCAGTTCATATACAACATTAATGTGTTGTCAATGAGCGGTATTAACAGCCATGCGGGATGTTTTAATTAAGGAATATAAAAATTGTGCACAGTGAGGTTTCATTTCAGTACAATACACTAAGCAAATAATACTCGTATTCATTATTGTATTTATAACCCTCGTCTATAGTTGTCGATATAAAACTAGGGTGAATATACTTCATAAAGATTTTATTTCAGCAAAGTGTCGGTTCTTGCGAAGATCTATGGAACGGATTATATTGAACAGCAGGAAAATGTGAGCTTGGAGTATGTTATGAATTTTAATACAGAATAAATTCAAAAGAATGTGATGTCAAAACAGGATTTTATGTATTTTTTTTAATCTAATCCGTCGCTCTAAGTATCAACCGCGATCGCGTATATTAATTCTTCCTTGCTACAAATAAACCAAAGCACGCCTGTCCAGGCGAACACAGAATGTTCTTGACACAATTGTTCAAGCTGGAAATACTGTCAACCGTGTTTTGTTTACGAGCAAGTAGGATTTGCCATAGAAAAGCATACGTGACACGACTATATACTGGCATGCGCGCAAGGTTTTATCAGTTTATAGTAGACAGTATTATCTTATGGCTTTAAATTTAGATTATTAAACTGCTTAGGGTATAACTGTCTGCGAACTGTACAGTAAACTATCCAAAATATTTGCGTCAGGCACCGAAAAATGTCTATACAAACAGGGTCATTAAAGGCTGTTTTACACTATCAAAGTTTCTGTGATCACGGTAGGAATTTTGCATAGCCATAGTAAATTTTAAGTTTTGAAGGATTTGTAAAGGATTTGTTTGTGGTAACTGACCCAGTGTTAAACGCCGAGTCAATTTTTTATCAAAAATTCCTTACACATTCTTAAAAACTTTGATAGTGTAAACCTGGCTTAAAGCAAGATGGTCTGATTTCGCTAAGGGACTGGTCATAAAGTAACTGCTAGGGTGGGCTGGAGGTAAATCACAAATTTTGCCCGAATAAGTTTGAGTTTGGTGACCTATCTTAGGATGTAGATAAAAATTTCAAAGCCCATCTAATCTTACCAAATTTATTTCATGACCCACCCACCCAATCTAAATTGGGAAAATACAATTTTATAATAAAAACAACTTGCAGGTATGAACATTGTAAATATACACCGGCACTGTATTGACATACGTAATTCCACCGAGCTTGACCAGCACATCACCTGAATTACGATACTGAGCTGCTCTCCAGTTGGTTGTGTTTGCTGTGATTCGACCACTTCTTGTTGTTGTACAGTATAAAACAAAGTACTGGCTTCAATAGCATCATTTGCATTTGATAATTTGGATAGTTTTGTTTACTTTTATTATAAATATCTTTATGTAATATATAATTAACATGGGTTTTTGTTTGGTGGCCCAACCGTGGACATACCAAAAAATTGGCGGCCCATCGAAACTACCCAAAGATTTTCCATGGCCCATCCCAAATCACTCCAGCCCACCCTAGCAGTTACTTTATGACCGGTCCCTAAGCACGAATAAACAAATTCATTTTGGTTCATTTATCTCAACTGCACTGGGAAAAAATGTGAAATCCATACTATATGCACCACTAAATCCATAGTATATCCATACTATTTCGATACTATATCCATAGTGTGGAAATATACAATTATTATGGATTATAATCAAAAATCAATTTCCATTCTATGGATTTTCAAAAATTTTTCCAGTGCTGTCTACTAAGTGCAGTGAACAAAATGGGTCTGTACCAGAGGAGGCAAATGTGGATTTATTTACATATTTAGAGCAGAGAGATTGTTATCAAGGTTGCAAAGGATGCAGTTTAAGGAATTCTGCGTTGGTAGTTTTGTTGAAGTTACGTACGCTGATCAGTATGCGACTGGTGGTTCTAACAGGTTAATAATTAAGATTGATTGTAGCACGATATATAACTGCTTTGTTCTTTAAAACCTCCCTGGAAATATTACACTTTTACGCAACTGAGTTGCTAAAGACGTATCTGAAATGTCTTCAAGTCGAAGACTACTTGACTTCATGGGGTGCCTCTTTGCCATCATATAACATAATAGTTTTATAAAACATAATGCAAAACATAAAAGTTCTATTATTCTTTAGGTTCCGTGGAATTTGCATTTATAAAGGCCATTGGCAGAATAGTTTGGGTGCTTCATTCACTTTGAGAAATGTTATTGACAATGAACCTTTGGAAATCAACTTTCAACTTTATTCTCCTCTCATCCAAGAACTGAAAGTGCTGAAGCATCAGAAATTTAAAGAACACCAGTTGAAATATTTACGAGACTACCCGCCGGCTTTCAGTTACGTCAGTGAGAAGATGAAAGAGCAACCGTACACTGAGGAACCAGAGCTCTTTGAGTTTAATGAGGAACATAGAAAGAAAATAGATCGATGGTTTTCCTAGAATCGCCTCCTTGCTGCATAGGAAGTCTGCTAAACAGTGCAAAGCTAGATGGTAAGCTATTAAATGTATTGCCAGCACTGTAAAACAACCTCATTGAATCACCAATTGGGCAAGAAAATTCTTATCTCTGTTTATATTTAATGCAGGTATGAGTGGTTGGATCCTAGCATTAAAAAGGTAAAATTAAAACTTCACTGCTAGAACTAGAATTATAAGATATAAAGATAAAAACTATAGCTGTTGGAAATATATTCCCAAAATTCATTAAGAGTCATCGGGTAATACACCCTTCTGAAAAGTACATCACTAAGGGCCATTCCATTTAAAATCCACACCCCCCCTACGGATGAGGTCAGTAAAATTTTAACCCCTAAGAAAAAAAGATCAAAGTGCCGACACAAAACACCCCTCAGAAATTTGTGAATTTTCCCCTTACCCCTCAGAAAAATCGCAGAGATCAAAGGATGCCGACAGGCTTAACCCCTCAGAAACGACTTTTCGAGTCACCCTTCAGAAAAAGGGGGGGGGGGGTGGACATTAAATGGAATGGCCCTAAGCCTGATGTCACAATCACAAAAACGAGACTCTATAGCGAAGATGACTTACTTTCTGGAAGCGTGTACCACATATGCGGTGACATAATTCGTGAATGACGCTTGCCTTTGGCTCGCATCTATATAATGACATGGCCCTCTTATTTGGTTTCTTACCAATCATATTTCCCCAGACGGAATGGAGTCGGGAAGAAGATGAAAAACTTCTACATCTTGCCAAACTCATGCCAACACAATGGAGGACAATTGCACCACTGATTGGTCGTACAGCGTCGCAATGTCTCGAGAGATACGAGTATCTCCTGGATCAGGCCCAGGCTAAAGAGGGAGAAGAGACTGGGGACGACCCTCGGAAATTGAGGCCAGGGCTTGAAATAACAGCTGACCTCCGATCAGTGGCCAGCAAGAAATGATTTATGATCGGCGAAAAAACATGGTTTCAACCAGGAAAGGCAGGGAGACTAACGATTACCATGATCGGGAACTTTGCTCGTCCGTTGTATGACAATGAAATATTTGATTATGTATTTTTGCTTTTTCAGAATAAAGAAACATAAACGAAGGAAGCGTGGTGTGGATTATAATGCTGAAATACCATTTAATGAACATTTTCTTTAGGTTTTTATGATACCGCTGAGGAGAATGTGGCACCAAACTCATGTATAGTAGTATACTCATGTATAGTAGTATACTCATGTAT